AATACATTAAATAGGAATAATGTTTCCTTCTTTCCATTTCCTGTACATGTCCCTTTTTCTCTTCAGCATTTGAGAGAGCTCTTAAATATATCCATATTGGCCTCTTTATAGATTTTTCCCATTTTTCTTTGGGGATTTGTATGCAATTCTCCCTTCACTATCTCATTTCATGAGAGTTCTTTTAGTCTAATGGTTAACGTGCTGGACTAGAGCAGGGACACCTGAGTTCTGGTCCTCTCTTAGACCTGGAAGCCAGTTGGGTCAGAATGGAGAACTTTGGGTCAGTTCTCCATCCCAGCCCTAGGAAGAAAACTGCATGGACTTGTCCATGTAGTTGCCAGGAGTCAAGACTGCCTCCAAGGCACAAAAAGCAGCAATAAAACAAAACTCCATCCAGAACTCATTTCATAGAATTTCCCATTCTTCCTGGACACTTTTCTTCTTTAGGATTTCAGGTCATTGGATACAATGCACCTTTTCTCAGAGTTCATCAAAATCTGCTCTTCTGAAGTTCCGTATGCAGGTCTGACTCTTTTCAATTATTCCTCCTCTGAATATTATGAATTCAAAGATAAACGATCAGTTTTCCCCATGATGCCAATCTCCTTTGCTTCTTAACCAAGCATTCTTTGGGTATAGGTATCTGCCGCAAGATACAACATTTGATCTCTTTCTCCTTGGGGCTCTAGGATGTGTCAAACCCTGAAGGCTGAACAAAACGGAATGCTCGATCAGCTTCTGATGGAATGTCATATGAATCCAGCGCTTCGTGAGCATCTTTCCATTGTCACCCGTACCTTTGAGAACCGTCGGGCAACTGTCCATGAAGATGTGATGCTCTTCAGCAATAAAGTCTTCTCCATTGAGCCTCTGGTAAGAAATAACACATGAATGGGGAGGTGGAATATTTTTCTAAAGTGCCTCAAATGCTTTTTCTGTAAAAGATTTTGAATAAGCTGATTCAAAGTGTTAAATATCATTTCCTCCCCTAAATAGCTACCTGTCACAGTATATCAGGCCGTTCAGAGCAGGACCTTCATTAGTGACCTTGAGAGCTCAAGTGTGAAACAAAGGAGAGGCATTCCTTCAGATACGGTGGCTAAGACCTTTTTCATCTAATATAAGCAAGTTACTTGAAGCTCTCCATCAGGGCTTAAGCAGGAGAATGGACTGGGTGGACTGAGACTTGTTCCGAACAAAGCAGAAACGGTGGTGGTTTGTCCTACTGACCTTGTTTTAGAAGGTGTTAAGCTCCCTTAAAGTAACAGACTTAGAGTTACAGAGTGCTTTTGGATCCATTTTTGTAATTGGAAATATAAGTGATTTGTGGCACATTGTCTTTTTACCAGCTTAGACTGATATTAGCTGTGCCCTAAATGGATGGAGAAAGCATTGTGATGGCCTTCTTCCTTTTCGATTAACGAAATGCTGCTTTTGATGGGCTAGCTGAATTGCTGATGATAGCTGGCCAATATGATTACATTTTGCCAATATCCTGTTGCATCTTTTATTCTGCTTCTTAATGTTCTTAATATTTGCCACCTTTTAAGTCTGATACATTTCTATACATTTGTAGATAAGTATGGCTTACCCCCCCCCCCCCCC